GGCCCCGGGAGGGCCCGCCGCACCCTCGGGGCCCTCCCCGCGCCCGCACCCGCGCCCGCCGGGGCCATGGCGAAGAAGAGCGCCGAGAACGGCATCTACAGCGTGTCTGGCGACGAGAAGAAGGGTCCTTTGATCGCGCCCGGGCCCGACGGCGCCCCGGCCAAGGGCGATGGCCCCGTCAGCCTGGCCGTGCCGCCGCGCGAGACCTGGACGCGCCAGATGGACTTCATCATGTCGTGCGTGGGCTTCGCCGTGGGCCTGGGCAACGTGTGGCGCTTTCCCTACCTGTGCTACAAGAACGGCGGAGGTGAGCGCCCCCGCCCGCCCGCACGTGGGGGCAGGCCCAGGGGGAATGGGGGGGGGCCGGGACGGCGGTCCGTGGCCACCCCCCCCTCGTCAGTCATGTGCCTGGCAGTGTGGTGGGGGGAGGGGGCCGGCCTCGGGGATTGGCCATGGAGGTGGGAAACCGGCCTGCCCTCTGGGGGGCCTCCCGGAGGTGAGGAGCCTTGGCTGCCCCCGCGGGTCAGGCACACAAGTGGCACATTGTGTGGGCCCCCCACGAGTGCACACACGAACACACACATACACAATGGGCCACTCTGTCCCTCCCCCTCCCGCAGCCCTCCTCTTCCCATCCCTTCCCTCCCCTCCTCTCAGCTTGTGCCTGGAACACTGGGTGCCTGAGCTCTGCCCGGCGCCGCCACAGGACACGCAGCATGTACACACCATGTCGTCCGACAGACTGACCGCAGTCATGGGCATGCGGCTGTCCGGAACACTGGCGGAGGGTGGGTGGGTGAAGCGCAGCTACTGCGTGATTGCTCGGGAAACTGAGGCACAGACAGAAGGCCTTGGTCCAAGGTCATGCACAGTTCGGATGTGAGGATTAGGCGCTGGGCAAGCCAGATCCACAGCCCGATTCCGAGGATGAGGATGGGCGAGAGAGCAGGGCCAGGACAAGGGCAGGACAGGCTGCCAGAGGGGACCGAGACCCGCCTTACCCTCACCTCCCCCCACCCTCCCTCGCCTACTGGACCTGTCTGTCCCTACGGCCCTGTCCTGCCTCCTCCAGAGCTTGCTGGGCTCAGCTTGTCTCCCTCTGTCCTTGGTGGCTGACACCTTCAGTACCCTCCTCTCCCATAGAGGCCTACAATCCACCTTCCAAAGCCTCATATTTGCAGGCCAGTGTCAGGGTGCAGGGGTGGGGTGGCAGGGGCTCCCTGCTCTCGGCCTAGGCCAGACAGACTATCAGGTCCCAGCGCTCAGCCACGAGCCACGCCACACACGTGCACACACGCATGCCCTTGCTCTTCCCGTTCGCTGCCTGGCAAAACAAGCAAGCTGCGGCACGAGGCGCAGTCTACGTGTGGGAGCGCACGTGTCCTCTGTCCTATAGGCCAGCGTCAGCATCCATGGGGTGCAGCCCTGTGGGTGGAGAATCCCACAGCCCAGGGGCTTTGGGCGGCCTAGCTGGAGCCCACCCCCAGGTTCTTCACCTGGTGCTTGAGTCAGCAGCCACACTCCACTGATTCACCCAGTTCACTGGGGCAGGGTGGGGCTGAGCTGGGCTCCACCCCTGCCCCCTGTGGCTCCTGGAGGTAGTTTGGCAATGGCAGTTGGGGCCCGCTGGCTCCCCCTGAGCCCTACCCCATGCTGTTTCCCCACAGGTGTGTTCCTAATTCCCTACATCCTGATCGCCCTGGTGGGAGGAATCCCCATCTTCTTCCTGGAGATCTCACTGGGCCAGTTCATGAAGGCCGGCAGCATCAATGTCTGGAACATCTGCCCCCTGTTCAAAGGTGAGCACCCCAGTACCCCAGTTGCAAGAGGTACTTTCTCAGACATGCACAGCACGCCTGGAAGTCAAGCCAGCAAGGAGCAGAGTGCAGGGATGGCTGGGACAGGAGAAGCTGCTAAAAACCACTGGAGGCCACCTCTCATCAGACCTGAGGGCCAGCAAGCTTGGCAGTGGTCAGGGTGTGAACAACTCACAAGTCCTACTAATAGCCGCCCATTGTAGAGACAAGGCCGCTCCAGGGCACTGTGTGCTGAAGAGCTGGGTGTGAGACAGGAGGGGGATGAATTGAGATGGCCCAGGCGTGGAGAGGGCAGGGCAGGACGGCTGAATTGACAGCGCTTCTTTGTTATCCCAGGCCTGGGCTATGCTTCCATGGTGATCGTCTTCTACTGCAACACCTACTACATCATGGTGCTGGCCTGGGGTTTCTATTACCTGGTCAAGTCCTTTACCACCACGCTGCCCTGGGCCACCTGCGGCCACAGCTGGAACACCCCTGAGTGCGTGGAGATCTTCCGCCATGAAGACTGTGCCAATGCCACCCTGGCCAACCTCACATGTGACCAGCTTGCTGACCGTCGGTCCCCAGTCATCGAGTTCTGGGAGTGAGTCAAGAACCTCTGGGCCAAGCCCATCTTGCCCCTCTGGTCACCCACACAGGCCTTCCCTGAAGCACCAGCTGTCCCGCCCCTTCACTCTCATTCAGCGGCACCTGCCTGGGGGCGAGAGTGGTGGTGGTGGGGGGGCACGTAGGCCAGGCCACCAGCCTCACTCCCTGCAGCATGGACGCCTCCAGAAGGCAGGCTTGGGTCTGGGCCCAGCCCAGGTGGACCAGCTGGACCCACAGCTGACGGGGTGGGGAGGGGGGCACAACCTCTCAGATGGCTCCCAATGACAGCCTTCATGAACTGTGCCTCTTTAGGAATAAAGTCTTGCGGCTCTCCGGGGGGCTGGAGGTGCCAGGGGCTCTCAACTGGGAGGTGACCCTGTGTCTGCTGGCCTGCTGGGTACTGGTCTACTTCTGTGTCTGGAAGGGGGTCAAGTCAACAGGAAAGGTACTGTCTGCTGGGGCCGCCGGGCTCCACATGCCTTCGGAGGGGACAGCTGGACGGGGATCCTGAGGGAGAGAGGCCCAGGAAACTGATGCCCCTTCCGCCTTCACATACCAAGCTCCCCCCTCCCGTTCTCTCTCTCTGTCGCTCACTGTCTGGGTTTGGGTCTGTTCTGTTTTGTGACAGGGCCTGCCTGGCTGGCTCCTGGGGACCCAGGGTTAGGGAGGCCTGTGTAGGACCCCTGGGAGAAGCGGGCTTTGCTGTTGGGCTTTTTCTTCCTTCTGTCACTACCTGACCTGGTTCCCGCCCACACTGCCAACAAAGAGCTAGAGAAATGACCTGGGATTTTCTCTGAGTTCAAAAGGCAAAGGGACCTGCTCCCAGCCTGGGCCCCACAGGGTTCTGGGAGGGACATTCAGCTACCTGCTGTGCCTCGCACAACCTGTCCCCTCCCCTGGCAAATGTGCTCCGCTGGTCTCCCCTAGTTCCTGGCAGGGGGTTGGGGGTCAGGGTGGGGGCAGTGGCTAGCCCCGGCCCTGAGCAGCCTGACCCCCTAGATTGTGTACTTCACTGCTACATTCCCGTACGTGGTCCTCGTTGTGCTGCTGGTGCGTGGGGTTTTGCTACCAGGGGCCTTGGATGGCATCATCTACTATCTCAAGCCTGACTGGTCGAAGCTGGGGTCCCCTCAGGTGAGGAGTTGGGTCGTAGGGGAATGGCATGTGGCTGGCTGCGGGACGCCCACTCACTGCTGCGTCCACTGCTCCTCCAGGTGTGGATTGATGCTGGCACTCAGATTTTCTTCTCCTATGCCATTGGCCTGGGGGCCCTCACAGCCCTAGGCAGCTACAACCGCTTCAACAACAATTGCTACAAGTAAGCCCCACATCCTCTGACCCGGCCTGTGCGCCCCTGCCCCCCCACCCCCACTCCCCTAACTGGCAGTGACCGCCTCATCCCTCCTGCCAGGGACGCCATCATCCTGGCGCTCATCAACAGCGGGACCAGCTTCTTTGCTGGTTTTGTAGTCTTCTCCATCCTGGGCTTCATGGCAGCGGAGCAGGGCGTGCACATCTCTAAGGTGGCCGAGTCAGGTAAAGACCCCTGGACACTGTCCACTTCAGAACTGGGCTGCTATGTGCATGTGACACCCCACTCGCTGGGCCCGTCTGGAAACCTGAGCGTCCTTCCGTCTGTCTGTCCCAGGGGTGGGGTCAAGAGTCACCCAGTTCTCACAGCCCCTATTGGGGGGTGCCCTTGGATTGCTGGACTCTGCAACACCCTCCCCCCTCCATCGCACAGGACCCGGCCTGGCCTTCATTGCCTACCCCCGCGCTGTGACCCTCATGCCCGTGGCTCCGCTCTGGGCTGCCCTGTTCTTCTTCATGCTGTTGCTACTTGGGCTTGACAGCCAGGTTTGGAGGGGGCCAGGTGGGGGCGGCGTTGGGGGGCGGGAGCAGTAGGTGGTGTGAGCAGAGCCTGGCCTGAGCCGCCCGCCACAGTTTGTAGGTGTGGAGGGATTCATCACTGGCCTCCTGGACCTCCTCCCGGCCTCCTACTACTTCCGCTTCCAAAGGGAGATCTCTGTGGCCCTTTGTTGTACCCTCTGCTTCGTGATTGACCTTTCCATGGTGACCGATGTGAGTGGGCTCGGTGGGGCACCCCTGGCTCCCAGCTGTTCCCCATCCCACCCCTGCCTGACCAGGGTGTGCCCCCGTCCCCCCACAGGGCGGGATGTATGTCTTCCAGCTGTTTGACTACTACTCAGCCAGCGGCACAACTCTGCTCTGGCAGGCCTTCTGGGAATGTGTGGTGGTGGCCTGGGTCTATGGTAGGTGCCACTGCAGGGGGTGGGGGTGGGGCCTGCACGTCTTCTAGGGTTCCAGCTCGGCCCTTCCTGCCCTGCCCTCTCAGGTGCCGACCGTTTCATGGACGACATCGCGTGCATGATCGGGTATCGGCCGTGCCCCTGGATGAAGTGGTGTTGGTCTTTCTTCACCCCAGTGGTCTGCATGGTAATGCCCGGGAGGTGGCTGGGCATGCGGGTTGGTGGCTAGCCAGAGCTCTAGCTGATGCCTCCGCTCTGCCAGGGCATCTTCATCTTCAACGTGGTGTACTACAAGCCGCTGGTGTACAACAATACCTACGTGTACCCATGGTGGGGAGAAGCCGTGGGCTGGGGCTTCGCACTCTCCTCCATGCTCTGTGTGCCCCTGCACCTCTTGGGCTGTCTCCTCAGAGCCAAGGGAACCCTGGCTGAGGTTAGAAGGGGCAGGACGCCTCATGGTCACCTCCCACTGGCTGGTGGGCTGGGGGTGGCGTGGGAGGAGGCTCTACCCCAGCATCCCTCTCCTCTGCCCTGGCCTCTCCGGCCTAGGGGTCCCAGGGATTCGCCAAGCCCTTCTCTCCCACAGCGCTGGCAATACCTGACGCAGCCTGTGTGGGGCCCCCACCACCTGGAGTACAGAGCTCAGGACTCGGATGTCAGGGGCCTGACCACCCTGACCCCAGTATCCGAGAGCAGCAAGGTCGTGGTGGTGGAGAGCGTCATGTGACAGCGACAGCAGCGGTCTCCGTCCGCAGAGCCCTGGCCTGGCCACCTCACGTCACCAGCTCCCCCTCTTGTAGCCATAGCAGCTTGTGCTTTAGCCCCTGCCGCGCCCCTCCAGGGGGCCTGCCTTTCCCTGAGAGTCTTGGGGTCTGCCTGGGGGTGGGGGGAGGCCGAGAAGCACCGCGAGTGCTAGCTAAAATAATTTTTCCATTTTGAATAAAACGCAAAAAATATCACAACCCACCAAAAATAGATTCCTCTTACCTTCCCCCCACTCCCCACCCCCCGCCTGCAGTCCAGCTGGCGTAGCTGCTTCCCCGACCCCCCTTCCACCCAGGCGCCCCTAGTCCCACTGTCCCGTGGCCCCCTGCCTCTCTGGGCTCCGCCCCTGCAGCACCCCTGCCCTGGGGGGCCCTTCGCCCCAGAACCAGCAGAGGCTGCCTTGGGAGCCTGAAGAGGAGCCGGGGAGGGGCAATGACGGAGGCTAAGATGGCAGGTCGGCTACACCCTCCCTCATCCCGATTCTAGAAGCTGAGTGAGGCAGCCAGCAACGGAACCTCGTGGTTCCTGCGCCAATCGCCGCGGCTATCCATTGTGTGCGCTTCTGTGTGAGAACGCGTGCGTCTGGAGCCTATATCTGGAGCTCCCTTAGCAAAGGTGAATACCAGGGGAACCTGTGCCGGTGAGCAAACCAAGCTTGTATTTTGCACATTTTATAAAAATGAGAGTGAGATTTCTGCTTGTATATTTCTAAAAAGAGAAAACCACCCCATGAGCCCTCTCCTTTCACATCCATCCCCTCCGGCCCCACCAGCCTCCTCTCCCCTAGCCAAGGAGTGTGAATTTCTAGCTCTAATTTTCATAGGCAAAACCGAAGCTTCCAGCTGTCCTGTATGTGAATCAGCCGTGTGGGTGTGATGAGTGGGAAATTAAAGGGTGTGGCCCTCAAGGGACATCTACTTTCCCAGTCCCACAAGTCCCGAGGTGGGAGCGTGCAGGGCTGTGTCCCATGGAGCTCTGGGCTGCTCACTCAGGGTGCATAGGCTTGCCCACAGCCTGCTCCCTGGATGGGGCTAGGATGGCAGGGGTCCCGGGCATGGCCGCCTCCTCCAAGTCAAGGCTGTGCCCCTTGCACATCTGAGGTCTCCCATGTAGCAGCTGTAACCCATGTCGGGGTCACACCGAAGCCCAGGCAGCTGAGTGGACTCCAGAAAGGATTCTCCCCGACCTTGACATGAGTGGGGGCGTAGGGGGCGTCCCTCCTGAGGGGACAGTGTTAACTGTGCTGAAAAGTCACTGCAAACATAGCAATAAACAACCTGTCATTTTCCAAAGTGGCTCCTGCGTGTCTCCGTCAGCTTCCCTGGGGGCCGGGGAGGAGAGGGTGGAGGAGGAGAGGGGACGCCCACCTACCGCCACACACACCAATTGAGCAGCTTCATTCGGCGAGTGATTGTCCAGGTCCTCTGTGCCCC